CTCCATCCACTCACTGCAACCCAATGCCAAAGGTTAGTTAGCTATGACTAAGGCAGAAACGCGTCAGCGGTTGTGCTTTGTACACATGCATGTGGAATAAAGTTTGCATTTCTTTGGAAGATTATCGTGTGCTGGTTCCACAGCTTTTGCGCCTATTGCTCTGGAAGAGAGTCATCCGTGCACCGAATGTGGATTGTGGGAACGCATGATAGGGGCGAGCTGTGCACTTCATGTTTTCAGGCTGCAGGTTAGTGTGGTAGAGCTGCCATTATAACAAAACCTGTTGCTTTGCTTTAGAACAGGTTCTCTTTAAATTGCCAAATATTTAAATTGATCTTTCAACCATGGCAAAAGTACTTTGTGGAAAGAACATTCCCAGAATTGCTCATGTAATTGACTGATTGTCTCTGCCAAAAATCTGCATGTAGAGTGCCACTATCTGTGTTCCGGAAATCTCTCATTCCAGGGCAGACCCATCAACTGTGGAGTTCATTTATGAAAAGTTCTCCCCACCGATCGCATCGGGTCCCTTGAGGTCACTGACATGCAAACAAGTGACATCCGCCCGGCTATATGCTGGGCAGAACCTTTATAACTTAACCCCTATGTGTCATGCTCTAGTGCTTTCCCCTGAAACCACGAATACCACTTCTAGGAGTTGGGTCACAGTAGTGGCAGCTGGGACAGGTAACAGTCACCATGACAGGTTCCCTTTAAAGGTCATTCACACTAGAGTGCCATTAGGTGCTTTTATACGCGTTTTTAATGGTTTTCTAAATGCATAAAAATGCATCTAAGGATTTCTAATGGATCCATTCACACTTTGCGTTTCGATGCTTTGAGATGCAGTCAGTTTAGCTGCGTTTCGGGGAAAAAAGTAGTCCGGTGCATCCGGGAAATATTTTTAGCTTCTAAACGCACATGTAAACGCAAGATGCGTCTAGTTGCTGAAATCTCATTGGCTACTTCAATAGACTGTTTAATGGACAAAGGACAGATGCATCGAAAAGTTTAAACACGCGTGAACGCATGTCATGTTAAGCTTCTAGAAGCATCTAGCCTGACAGATTTTGCAGACCGATCTCTACCTAAAAACACGAGCGGACTCCACTGTGCGCGAGGCCTAAATCCAGAATTAGCGGACGCTAGGGCTAGGTTCACACCTGCACTACACCGCACGACACACAGGACGCGCGAATGTTACCCCATTAAAATCAATGAGACCGCGCAGCAATCGCTGAGTGCACTAGCACACGATCGCGCAGCCCCATTGATTTCAATGGGGTGTCATACGCTCAGCAATCGCAAAAAAAAAAAAAGAAGATACAAGTACCTTTTTTGCGACACAGGACTCGTGGGTTTTTTTTAGCTGCGAACGTATTCACGGGCGGAATAGCGGCGGGAAACCGTGCTATCCCCCCATGGTGCGACTGGGGTGCCATTAGGAAATAATGTATTGCGATTGTAATGTCTGCCCTATATTGTAAAGCGCTGCGCAAACTGTTGGCGCTATATCAATCCTGTATAATAATAATGGCACCCACAGTGCGATCGGTTCACACCTTGGCGGCTCCCGATCTCGCGCCAATCGTGCACAAAACCGTGCGGATTGCCACGCGGTCAGAAGTCGCCAAGGTGTGAACCTAGCCTAAAGCGTTCTTATCTGTCACGGTCACATGGTACAAAGTGATTAAAAATACATCAAAACTGATATTTTTATGTCAAGTTGCCATAAAGTAAAAACATCTTCACCTCGGAGCAAATGGATTTTAGGTTCTGCAAAAAAATTAAAAAGGCAGGGCCAGGAAGTGGATGCCGCCAATGTCCGAAATGTCTATCCTCAGATGTATCAGTTTCCGGATCTGGGTGGACTGGGGTTAGTCTTGGATCATCCGGGAAAAAAAATCTGACTTCAGTGACACACAGCCGTGTTTACAGATTGCCCTCCATTCCTTGAATTCTCTCGTTGCATGCAGGTGCCAACATCTGCTCAACAGATGTGCATGAGCATTAAACTGGAAATGGAGCTACTGACATACCGAGACTCTACAGCACAATGACCCAAAGGTGCACAATTCACTCCCTACACTTCTCCTTTGTATCCATTCTTTAGTAATGAAACGTGTGTTGGCTGTTTCCAGATTTACATTCACCTCAAACTGAATGTCACTTGGATGAGGCAATGATTGGATGATGGGGTGTACCTCTGCTCTGACTTCTGACCAATGTTGCGGTCTGGCAAAAAGTAAAACTTAAAGTGATATTAAAGGAGAACTATGAGACGGGTGCTTTTCACTCACCTCATAGTTCTAGCCGACCTGTGACAATGAGACTGTCACAGGTCGGCTCAGTAGATCGGGAGGTGAGAGAACACATACCGGCGTTCGCTCACTTCTCGATCCTGTCATGGCTCTCTGCCGTGACAGGGGAGTGGCTGGATTCCCCCCTCCCCGCTTCGATCCGCCAGCGCTGACTGGCGGAACGGACGGGGAGGGGGCGGGTACAGCTGGCTCTGCCTCTAGATAGGCAGAGCCAGCTGTCAGTCACGCAGCTGGGCGGATCCCGGCACAATTGTCGGGATCCGCTTCAGTGTCTCAGTATACCGCGAGCTAAGCCTAGGGTGACGGGAGGACGCTAGTTTGTGTCCTCCCGTTACCCTAAGGAGAACTATGGGGAAAAGCCTTAACCCCATAGTTCTCCTTTAAAGATTATATTTTTATTTTTTTTCCCTACAAGGAGACCTACCTTGGCTGGAAGCTGTTACCATTTTTCTTTAAAAGTTTGTAATTCCTTTAAATTTCTCTCATTCGGCTCAAAGAGCAGAGAAACCCATTGTTTTCCACACCCACACAAGACAGCATGGGTGTATGAATGAATAGGATGGTAGAATAGGAATTGCAGCTACTGGCTATTGTATTCAGCAGCTGTTGCTCCGACAGATGCGGAAAATCCAAACAGCGCCTGCAACTGATCGGAAGCAGGTGCTGCTTAGCTGAGAATTTTTGGAAAAGCTCCTTCGACAAACGTAAAAAATGTGTACGGACAGGGCCACTCCTGCAGGAATCAGATGAAATTCAAGCGGGTTATGATCAAGAGTCATGTGTGGGGGTTTGGTGCAAAATCCAGTACGCCAAAGTAAAAAACTGTGAGTGACACCCCCGTCCCAATTAGTTGCTACATGAACATTCCCCGACCCCCTTGTGATGTGTAGTACTGAGGAGGGGAATGCCCAAGCCATAACTGAATGGGCCGGGAGGGGGGTTTGTAAGGTTCACGCCAAGCCCCCTCTCATCACTAAATGGTCAGCTTCCCATTCCAGTGTGGTCAGATGTCACTCAGATTCAACATCACATGTCCTGACCCAAAAATTCCCCAAAATTCCCATCATTCTACAGACCAAACTGCAATATGAGACATTCTCCTTGAAGAATCCCAGAATGTGCAACAACATCATACATATGTTGTGACTGTCACAATGAGGAAACTCACGCAAGGTCTTTACTAACGACAATACGGACAGTTTCCGTGGCAACTAGACAGATTTTATTTGCGTTTATTTGTACATTTGTGCCCCGGAAACTAGCGGTTTTGTAATCTGCCGGTTAAAAAAAACGGCCTGCAAAGTTTCCCAACATTAAGGACATTTAAATGGATTTGTGAAGCGGGGAGTCATCTTTGGGCTGGGTTCACACCTTAGCGTATTGGAAACTCGCGTTTCTTACCGCGCGGTTTTACCGCGATTTGCGGTAAAAGAAACGCGTGGCAAACGCAGGTTTCCGAGGGGGTATCCGGCTGTATCCTTATGGATACAGCCGGATATGCGCATTAATACGCCCCGAAGAAGCTCAGGTACTTCTTAGGCCTCAGTCACACAGCTTAAAGTCGGGTCCTTGGAGGGACTTGCGTGTAGCAGCCTTTTCTTCCCTATGGGAGGTCACGGCCGTCCTCAGACGCAAACAGGATCCATGCAGCACCTGTCCCTCCCGCGAACGGCCCCATATGGGCGTGCACGCCGCACGGGCGTGCAAGCCGCACGGACGTGTATGGCCCGAGTTTACGCTGTGCGAATGAGGCCTTAGGTCTTGTTCACACCAAGCGCAGAGCAGATCAGTTGCAGACCGGATTAAAACTGCGTCCAATGTACTCCAATGGTATTTTTTGCTCCAGTTCACATCGCAGCGTGCAGTTCCAGAGCAGGTGAACAAACTGCAGCAAGCCAAACGCGTTAGCCAAAAACTCGTCAAAAAGACTAGCGTGCGTTTGCAGAAACCTGACCGGATCTGCATTTGGTGTGAACAAGGCCTTAAGTGAAAATGGTAAAAACAAGGAGAAAAACAAACAAATAAAAAAAATAAAAGAAGTAATCAGCAGCAGCCAACATGATCCTCATCGGTTTCCTGCCAATCGATCTCCCCAAAGCCAATTCTTATTGTATGTGACCAGCAGCTGCTCCATACAGGTGACACCTCGCTGCACGAATCATAGAGGGGACCCAGGAGCCCTAAACATTGGATCTGTCCTGCAATTACCTCACCCCCATGTCTTTCATTCTTCTCTCCTTCCTCCAAGAATAACAGACCCTCCCTCACCTTTCTCTCCCCTGTAATCATTCCCTCACCATCATTGTCACCCCCATCACACCTCTCTTTTCTTTATCTTCCTCCCCCCTGTAACTGCAATCCTCCCTCTCCTCTCTCCCTACCAATCA